TTTAGGACTTTTTTTTTGAGACACTATATCTACGTGCTTTATCCTGCTTAATTTTTTGAACAGCTGTAATAGCATAGAGCCAGTGAATATAATTCATTCAAGGGAAGAGTATAAAAAGAATTCATGTTACAAGAATTCAAACAATATTCATTAGGATGCATCAGCAAAGGTAGACATATTTAATTTTGCCTGCATGTATGTAAGTGTATCACATGCATACAATGCCTGTGGAGGCCAGAAGAGGGAGTCTAATTCCCTGGGAGTGGAGTTATGGATGGTTGTTAGCTGCTATATCGGTGACTGGAACTGAACCTTGGTCCTCTGCAAGAATAGCCGGTATTCATAACCACTGAGCCATCTCTCCAGCCCATGGCAGATCATTTAAAAATCTGCAGTCCATCCTAGAGGGATTGGTATGTCTGGGAAGCTACCCTCATTCAGTGTGAGGGAGTGACTAGAGCCACACTTATTACAGAGAGCCTCAGAAAACTGGCATTATACTTTCAGTAACAGACATTTTAGGGAGGGGGTGGGGAGACAAAACTGTATGTAGCAGAGGGAGAACATGCATTCAGAAAACTCTTTGTCTTTAGAACTAGAGCAGTGGTGGGAATGCTATTTTAAAAAGACCCCTATTGAGTTGGTGGTTTGGTGGCCTCAGGCACTTTACAAATTTCACTATTAGGAAACTCAAGATCAAGTGTCACAGGAGTATGTACTGAAACCAGGCCAGATGAATACGTCTAGACTGTGGGGAAGAAGTTGAATCAGCACCACACTCAATATTCATCAAGGTGGAAACCGAGTTGAAGCCAGACTGTACAAGGGAGCACAGATAGGTTTCAAGTGGCATACCTGATACCCTGAAGGACTGACCAGGGGAGGGCACAGGATTCTCAGCTAGACTAGAAGGTATAACCAGCCTCTATGACCTGATTTGTGAAAAACTGTCCATTGATGGGACCAGCATCTGTGACCTGACTTTGCAAAGGACTGAATCACCAAGCAGGCAAGACTCAATTCAAACTCCAGGCTCCCCTCCTGCTCTCTCTCCTTGACATTTATGCCCCCTTTATGTAATGCCAGTTTAGCAGGCCAGCACTATCCTGCTCTGCTCTCTTCTTCTCTATCTTCTCCTGTCTCTATTTTTTTTCCTTTTTTTTTAACCTTTGGTAGTCTTTACCAAAGTACACAGCCTGACTTAGTTTGCAAGAATTCAAAGGAATGATCATAAATATGGTCAAAGAAGTCAAAGAAGACACAATAAATGTCTGAGTGAATTCCAAGAGAATAGAAATAGCTAAATGAAATACGGGAGTCAATACAGAATAAATGCAATTCAGTAGAGGCAGAAACACTGGGGAAAAAGAGTTAAGCTGAAATAACAGAAATGAAAACATTCAGTAAATTTAAAAAATACCATGGAAAGTGTCATCAATAGAATGGATCAGGAAGACAGAATTATCAGAGCTTGAAGACAAGGTAGAGGGGTTGGAACATTACATACTGGCAAAGATAAATTTAGAACACCAAATAGGACCAGAGAAGAACCTTCCCACAATGTAGTCAAAACATTAAATACACAGAACAAAGAAAGTGTATTGAAAGCAAATCTCATCAGAATAATAGCATATTTCACAAAAGAAACAAAAATCAGGAAGGCTTGAATGACGTACTTCAAGTCCTAAAAGCCAACTGCCAACCCAGACTACTATACCCACCAAACCCATCTGTCACACTTGAAGGAGAAAATAACAAATGCTGGTGAAGATGTGGTCAAAAGGGAAGCCTTATATTCTGCCAGTGGAAATATAAAATTAGTCTAGTCACTATGGAAGTCAGTATGGAGGTTCCTCAAAAAACTAGAACTAGAACTACCATATAGTCTAGCTACAGCACACTTGTGTATTTATCTAAAGGACTCCATGTCAGCATATTACAGAGATGTTTACTACACATGAATGTTTATTACAGCACTTTTCACAATAGCTAAGCTATGGAACCAACCTAAGCATCCAATAACAGAGAGAATGGATAAAATATACTATATATAAACAACGGAATTTCTTTCAGTCATAAAGAAGAACAAAGTGAAGTTGTTTGCAGGAAAAAGGAAACAAGTAGAGATAGTTACATTAAGTGAGTTAAGTCAGTCTCAGAAAGACAAATGCCCCATTGTCTATTATTTTGGGCTTCCTAGATTTTATATAGACACATACATACCTGTTTGTCATGGAAGTAGAAGCAAACCTGTCTAGGGGAGCAAAGGTGATTAATTTAAAGGGGGAGGGTGAAAAAGGGAAGTGGGGGTACAATGGGAATATGCTCAACTCAGTTTATATTTGTAAGACAGTATTATGTAAAATGAACATATACAGTGAGAAATTTCAGACACCCCGACTTGAGCTATATTGTGGTACTTTTTGAGTAATAATCATTAAACATATTCTTCCCATCTGTGACATTACTTCTAGGTATTACTATTTAAGCATTTCATTTTTATTTATCTATTTTTATTTTATGTGTATGCTTTGCCTGCATGTATGTAAGTGGATGCACAATTGCATTGTGTATGCAATGCCTGTGGAGGCCAGAAGAGGGTGCTGGGTCCACTGAAACCAGAGTTCTGGATGGTTTCATTGCTCTTAACCACTAATCTATCTATTTTTAGTTATCTTCTTGGTTTGTGTTTTCTTTTTTATTATTTTGTTCTCTCTAGCCCCTGGAACTGAGGAAAGAACCCAGGGACTTGTGCTTGTTAGGCAAGGGCTCTACCACTGAGCTAAATCCCCAGGCCCTAAACATTTCATTTGTCTAGCTGGGTAGCAGCATCAAATTGTAATCATGTAATGTACCTGTAATAGAACCCAGTTTGTTAGTGCAGTATTGGCTGGACACTGCTCACACATCTCCATAGTTTTCTGTCTGTCTAGCTCATGGGCTCTGTCTCTCAACTCACTGATGTTTATTGTTGCATTGTTTCAATATAGTGCCACCCAGCTCTAAACCCTGTGAGCTACTATAATGACTGGCTTTGCAAAATACACTGCCCACTGCTGTACTAGTAGAAAAACTGTTATGGGAGTAACCAAATATTTTCTGATTGGATTTAAGGCCCACTTTACAAGATGTAACTCATACCTAGCACTCTTACTGGGGCCAAGAATGTGCGGCTAGATAGGTTATAGACCCTGCTATGGGAGGGAGCTGGGGAGAATCTACTACTATTATTCTGCTAAATGGACACAGGATTGAACCAATTCCTAATGACATTGTTATATCCGTTACTGCATTTCTCAACCCTCATCAGAGAACCTTTTTGCAGTAGATTGTGATTAACACAGAGACTCACAACTAGTCAACCTGTAGAGAATAAGAGACTGCAGTCTGCTCAGCTCTAAATGGGACATATTTATCACATCCCTCCCCCAAGGCTCAAGAATTATTGAAGAAGAGGAAGGAGGGGGCAGAAAGCATCAGAGTTGGTAGATGACTACAATGAAAGTGTTTTCTGGACACAACAGGGCAGTTGCACATATGAATTCACAGCAATTGTGACAGCACAAACAAGAAAGACCTTTGTAAGCTCAAGCCAGACAAAATCCCAGCATGGGGCGGGGGCGATGGGAATGAGCTGACAGGTGCTGAGAGAGTCAGTTTTCTTTAAGGGTGTGAGGACTGGTAAGTGGACTATGCTCCAGGAGATGGACCCATATCAAAGAGTATTTAGGTAGCACAAATTGGATTAAATGTTTTTTTTTTTTTTTTTTTTTTTGTCTTTTTGAGACAGGGTCTCCCTGTAGCCCCAGCTGTCCTGGAACTCACTATGTAGACCAGGCTGGCCTTGAACTCAGAGATCTGCCTGCCTCTGCCTCCGGAGTGCTGGGATTAAAGGTGTGCGCCACGACACCCGGCTGGGCTTTTTTTTTTTTTTTTTTTTTTTTAAAGTAGGAGGATATGAAGTTGGGTGGGTAGGGTAGTGAGGAAGGGGACTGGAATATGACCAAAATACATTGTATGAAATTCTCAGTTAATAAAAATATTTTAAAAAGAAAAAACAAATAAATAACTAAAGAAGTAAAAGGCAATAAAAATTTAATACGGATAGGAATTAAAACAAATAATTTCTTTCTTGTAGTGGTATATTAAAATATTTGATTACAATTATTCTTATCAGAATTTTCCTTAGAACATTTAAAATGTTTTTCTTCTATGGGATATTCATATGCTGAAGCAGCAATAAGACTGAGTCTAAAATATTTGTAATTAGCTAAAAGTAAACACATTCTAGTATATTTGATTTATTTAGGGTCATTATATACAAAATTGGCCACTAACACATTCCTTTCTTCTTTTAAAAGAAATCTCATCAGTAGACTGATGATGGCAAGTCTGCTTGTACTGTTTAATGGGCAAGGCTCTAGGATTCTCAAAGAAGCATACAGTACATTAAGATTTTATTCCTTATGCAGGTAGTTGGATTTACTGTAATTTGCAACTAATCACAGTCATCTATCACATGCAGACATCCTCTTCAGATTCATTTCCCTCTACTATTTATTGCAAGTAGATCATGCTATAAAAACGTATATATTATAAAAATATACCACAAATCTCTCTTTTCTAGCTCCTTTCTACATAAGAAAATCTAGGATTATTTTATTTTTTATTATTAATTGGATTTCTAGCTCTTACTTTTCCTAAAATAAGCTTATGTAATTTGGTATTTCATTCTTTAGGATTACTTGCTACTGCTCAATATACTAGTTACTTCAGCTGAGAAGTAAGGATTATGGGTTTGGTTCATCACAGTAGTAGCAAATGAAGAACTAAATAATGTTAATATTTTTATTATGAATATCTATTGTAATTTGTTTATATAATAAAAATAAAAATTTTATTCAGGGATGTAAAAACATGATTATTTTTGACAGAGCTTAATTTCAAATATATTGAAAGAAGGTGTTTCTACATATTATAAACATTAAAATCAGCCTCACCTGAGCCATTTTTCAGATATCCATTTGCATCTACAGTTGTGTACATGATATAAGGTCCAGGCTGGTTCACTCCAAAGGGCTGTAGCAGAAAAGGAAATAGTTTGGAAAGTAAGTAAATGATTTGAAATTTCAGGCAAATTTAGTATACAGTAAAAAAACAAAACAAAACCTTTTTTTAAAAGAATATTTGTATTTCACCATTTCATATATTTATATAACGCATCTTGACTGTACTCAGCTCAGATCTCCTCTCCTGCCCCCATCAGGGCCCTCCAATCCCCCACCTTCATGGTCTCTTCTTTTTTAAATAGCCCACTGAATCAAATCACTGTTGCTTGCATTTCCATGTGTGTGACACCATGCACCAGAACACAGGCAACTGCCAGGGGCCAGAAAATCTCTTACATATAAGTCTTAAATAACTGATATTTACTTAAGAAAACATTTCCATAAATAGATAATAGTGCAAATTAGAACCTGGTTAGTAATAAGTTCTTTAAAAAATTATGTTTATGTGTTTATTTCTGTTTTTGTGTGACTTATGTGACTTTATAGTTACATTTATATAGTTCAGAATTTTAACTGGATATTTTTAAGATCTAATATTGTCTCTATAAGGGTAAATATTTTAAACAAAAATTTCTTTACTATTTTGCTTTCATGCAGAACAAAACTACAACAGTTTTGGAGCCAGGGATGTGAGTTGTGGGAGAAAGTGCTTGAATATTCTGGATTTGATGTCCAGTAATGAGGAAATCAACAAAACCCAAATCCCCAAACTGACAACAATTTTATAGTATTTCTGTTGAATTGGACATATGTTTCATTTTTCTACTAAAACACTAAAATGCCAAAGTCTAATCCATAATAATTACAATCAAATGAAAAATATTGACATTTAGTTCTACCATATTTAATCCCTTGTGTATTTAGAGAATACATTACCTTCCAGTTTTTCTTATCTGAGAAATTAACAGAGCCTAATTACAATGGTAGTTTATCTCAACTTGCATATTGTTTCTTATTTATAGAATTGTCTTTAAACTTTGAATAAAACAATACGTTCATTTTCTTTGACATCAACTCTTAATTAAATAGGACATAAACCACAGACTGCAATGAACATCCCATTAAAAGATGACAAACATTTAAGAAATGTTTAAAACCCTTTGAATATTCATCACAGAAAAGAAATTCTACTGATCTTCCCAGGAAAACTGTCCTTCAAAAATAAAGAGGGCCTGCTTGTAGCTCAACTGGGAGAATGCTTGCCTAGCATGCATGAAGTCTTGGGTTCGATTCCTAGTACCACATACACTGAGCATGTTAGTACATGCCTATAATCTTAGCACTCAGGAAGTGGAAGCAGGAGGATCAGAGGTTCAAGGGCTAGCCTGGGCTACATGAGACCCTGTCTTAAAAACATCAAGAAACTAATATAATTAAAAACAGAATCTGCTATGAATACATTTGATTTAGAGGACATCCTACCGTAGTTTCTCCTGGCTGAACTGAAAGTACAACAGACACTAACACAAATAGAGAGTACTGATAAAGGTAATTATAGTAAATCCAATATACAGTATAAATGTATATTTGCAGCTCTTTTCTCCTATCTTATTTAAAAGACTATTGCATAAAGCAATAATTATAAAGGACAAGTTGTTGGGCTCCCATAGTCATAACACAAGGGACTGGGAGCAGACCGAGGTATGTTGGAACAGTTTTTGTAGGCAACCTAAGTTAATGAGGGGTTAATATGAACAAGATTGTTTTCAGTCAAAGTGTTCATTGTAACCCCAAGCAACTACTAAGATGATAAATAAAGCCTCCCTTGCTTTCCTTGTAGTCCCAGGCCTACCTTGGGTTGTACAGCTCCTGTACTGGCTCAGCCTGGGGAGTTCACCAAAACCTCGCCATCTACACTCCTGGCTTAGCTTGGGTCCCACAGGTCTTACACTGACCCAGGCAGGCGAGCACCCAGAAACTTGCTGCGCTCCCTCCACTCCCACCACCTTCCTCTCACTCTGAGCCTAGCTTGGTGGAGCAGTCTGCATACCAGGCCACCCAAGTGAGTTCCCCAGAAACTCCACCCCTGCTAGCATAGCTGGGATAGTGCAGGCTGTGCAATAGCTCAGGGAGACCCAGCATGGAGTCAACATTTGCAATATTTGTTCATCATTACCAGGCTGAAATGACCTAGTTGGCTTTATCCCCAGAGATGCAGGGATGGATGGTTCAACATATGTAAGTCAAATGAATAAAATAAATATGAAAAGACTTGAGGACAAAAATCACATGATCATCTCAATAGATGCAGAAAATGTGTCTGACAAAATCCAACATGCCTTCATGATAAAAGTCCTAGAGAGAATAGGACAATAGGGAACATGCCTCAACATAAAGGCTATATATGCCAACCCACATTCTAACATTCTACAGGGAGAAAAACTCAAAGCATTCCCATTAAAATCACTATCCCAACTCTTTCAATATAGTGCTTGAAGTTCTTTTACTTAGAGCAATAAGACAAGAGAAGAAAATTAAAGGGATATTAATAAGAAGTCAAATCATCATTTGTAGATCATATGTATAAGAGATCCCCCAAATTCCACCACAAAACTGCTAGAAATGATCAATACTTTCAGCAAGTGGCAGAATACAAAATCAACTCATAACAATCAGTAGCCTTTTTATATGCCAATAAAAAAAGCATGCTGAGAAAGAGATCATGGAAACACTTTTATTAACAATAGCTTCAAAAATATCTAGGAGTAAACTTAACCAAGAAGGTAGAAAAGCTCTATAATGAAAACTTCAAATCTCAAAGAGACTGAGGAAGACACTACAAGATGGAAAGACCAACCCCCACACTCATGGATTGGTAGAATTAATATTGTGCAAATGACTATCCTACCAAAAGGAATTTACAGATTCAATGCAATCCCAATCAAAATCCCAGTGAGGAAGAGGCAGGCAGATCTTTAAGAGATTGAGACCAGCCTGGACTACACAGTAAGTTCCAGGCCAGCTAGGGCTATAGGGAAACCCTGTCTTAAAAAAAACAAGAGGGAATTAAAGATAAATATTTTAACATAAAGACAGTAATGGTAGAAGAAGGAACAAATAGTACAGCATATAGAAATGAAATAGAGAAATGACAGATATATATATATATAGTGTCTGATCAGTAATTATATTAAATATTAAATACTTTACATTCTCTTATTAATAAGACAAAGAGTACCAATATACTGTTTACAAAAAGATAACTTTGAAGACAACAGAAAACGTCAAAGTGAAATCATAGAAGGTAAACCAGGCAAATACAAATGAGAACTGTAATAGCTATACTGATAAGACAGACTTTAGATCAAAAGTCTTACTAGACACAAAAGACACGTGATAACAAGCCCAGCTATGAGAAGATATTATAGTTATAAACTATGGCCATCTTACAACAGAGCCTGAAAAATATATATAAAGAAATGGAACCTGAAAAATATATAAAGAAATGGAGGGGGAAATGCATAATTGCAAGTAACAATAGAAAAATCATTGATAAGGCTTCAAAATGTATGTAACTACTTTTAGGAAATGACACTTGACAAGTTTTGGTACAGTGTTAATTAGCTCAGTAAGACATTAAAACACTCTTTTCTACCATTAACATGTGTGAACCTGAATGGTTTTTTTCATATATTTCCACCAAAATACCGCATGTGAAAACACTGACTGCAGAAGCTATGAGCATCTGCTGTCATATATTATGTTAGTCTTGAGGTGATCCGAAATAATTTAAACAATGCCACTCTTTACTAACTTATTTGGAAAATACAGATTTTCAAAAAATATAAATTTCATTGAAGTACTGAATTTATTTTTGAAAAAATGTAACATTTAAGTTAAATTTCAAATAATGTAAGATTGATACATAGAAATCAGGAAAAAAGCAAAGCTCTGTGTTTTGAGAATCACTACTCTGGACTAGCTGTTATAATGAACAAGCCTTTATTTTATTTTTTTATCACTTTATTTTTCCCACCTGCAGTGATCTAGCTGCTACCAGCGTCTTACTCTGTATATCACAGTGTCATATATTTTAGGTTTCTTCTCCCCATTAGCCTTCATGTGCATATTCAGTAGAAAATGTACCTAAATAATTGTGCTTATAGAAAAATACTAAGAAGCCTGAAAATTGTTTACTTTGTGTTTCTTCAAATTTATCATAGACACCAGGGGTACCGCTGTATGCCTCAGTTATATTAGGTCTGATCCACAGACTATCATATATTTTATAAATTTATAATTTGAGAGGGTATTTAATCATACGATTGGGGAGTTTTCAACTTAAGATTCAGCTAAGAAGTTGTGAAGTAATTCCCCTGGATGATTTAAGTACTTGTGCATACATCATACATTTCTTTCTGTGAAACATATGATAAAATCATAATTCTCAATGTGAAGGGAACTTTGGGAGATAATTGGGGTCAGGTGAAATCATGAACGGGTGGTTGTATTGATAGTTAGTGTCCTTCTGAGAATATCCACTGAGTGCTTACTCACGTTCCAAGTCCTAGAAAGTGAGGGAAGGCTCCACGAGCACAATGTGACAAGGTAACTGTCTGGAGGCTAAGAAGGACGCCTTCACCAGAACCAACTATGCTGGCACTGAGACCTGGGACTTCTAGCCTCTGAGACAGTGAGTTTTCAGTTAAGTCATCTTGCCTGGTGTTCTCTTAAAGCAGCCTAGACTGACTAATAAAATAAAGCAAGACATGTGAATTTATTCTATATACTTCATATCCAGAAATTTTTTCTAAATTCTGAAAATAGGAAGATAGTAAAGCCAGACATTCAGGGCCAAAAGTTCTTCCCATCCACATACTGTATTATGTCAGCAAAGTTACTTCTCTGAGTTTCAGTTTCTTCAATTAGGGATAGTCATAATACCTGTAAAACAACTGACTAAATGCATGTGAGGGATGCCTCATTGAGGCAATGTTGTAAGACTCCCAAAGGTTAGTCACAGATAGTACTGTACCATGTATATACTGGTTTTTTCCTATATATTATGCACCTAAAGTTTAATTTGTAAATTAGGTAGAGTAAGAGATTACTGTAAAATACATTAACTATAACAATATCCTGTCATAAAAGTCATGTGACTGTGGTCTCTACCTCTGCTTTGAGGAGTACATCGGTTGTTTGGTATACAATTTTTAACTTCCTCATATGCCCTCAGTGTTACCACATAGGAACAAAGTTAATCTCTCCTTCTACATATTTTAATCCCTGTTGCCTCTTGCATTTTTATGAATGTAGGTTCTGCTGTGCATCTTCTTCCATAAGAGCAGTTACAGTTACAGACCTGCTTTGGATGGCATCCTTTTTCCTTAATCAACTCTGTCAACCCTGCTGGAAACATGGCAGCAGCATCTATTCTAGTAGACGTAACCTCTTCATTAACCTATTTTTTTTTTTTAGTATAAAACTATTGTTCAATCAGTGTATTCATTCTTTACTTGTAGCAAATGCCTTGGTGTTGGTACAGGATGTAGAGATATACCATCTACCTGCATTTCAGAACTAAGACACTCATGTCCTCATTATCCCAAGTTGGCTGCTGGTAACTCACATCCTACTTAGAGACTCTCAGCTAGAAGGAGTGATCTCACATACATTATCACCTGTTCTTGAGAGATGTTTGAGTGTAAAGTCTGATTAATGTAGGAGTGCAGAGGTCTGGTCACTTTGTCTCAACTGGGGTCATTTCTGAAGAATCACACTAGCTTTTAGCTCTCCACAGACTGAAACCAGACTTTTTCCTCCTTCCAATCTTGCTTTCCTCAGTACTTCTGGATTACTGTTCCCAAGTAGGAATAGTTAGAATATGAGACTAAATCAAAGCATTTAACTTTGTGTTGTAATTTCTCTAAATAACTATGACTTTGGATACTTTAACTTCTCTCAGACTCAGTTTTCTTATCTTTAAAATGGTGGCTAATATATTTGTATGTGTGTGTGTGTGTGTGTGTGTGTGTGTGTGTGTGTGTGTGTGTGAGAGAGAGAGAGAGAGAGAGAGAGAGAGAGAAATAGAGGTTATTATAGAGCTTTTTATAAAACAGGTTATTTCAGAAAGTAAGCCTGATAAATTTCACACTTTGTTATTTTAGTGACATATTCCATTAGACAGTAAACCAGTATTAACATTATGAAAAAGTCATTGAGGAAGGGGAAGACAGCTCAGTGGGTAAAAACCCATGCAAACCTAATGACCTTAGTTCGCATTCCTGGAACCCATCCAAAAACCAGATGTGGTGGCGCGTGTCTGTAATCCCAGCACTGCTACAGCAGAGGAATGGTAAAGAAGAGAACCCCTAGAAGCCTGTAGGCCAGCCAGCCTGGATATGGAACACGGAGGCAAAAAGAAGAGACCCTGCCTCCAACTAGGCACATGCTTGCCCCTCACATCACACACACACACACACACACACACACACACACACACACACACCACACACACACGTACAGAGTCATTAATTGCCTAGTATGTGCTTGACTTTGTGCTTTGTATCAGTTATTCAAAGATTCTTGACCTCAGTGGGTTGTGGTCTAATGTAGACTAAAAAACTAAAAAACGGTGAAGCAATGGAAAGATGCCATAAAAAGGCAGCAGTAATCCTTAGAAGGGTGGGGGGATATTTTATTTCTATTTTATTTTTTTGAGATATGTCTCACATATCACAGGCTGGCCTCAAACTTGCTTTGTAGTTGACGATGATGACCTTGAACGTACGATCCTCCTAGCTTTACCTCGTGTGTGCTAGAATTACAGGTATATACCACCATGTCTGGTTTTATGCAATACTGGTGATCAAATCCAGGGCCTAACTAGCAAGCCCTCTAGGGCCTGAGGTACATTCCCAGTGCTAGAGCAAAAAAATTTTAAGGAAAAGTACTGAATTCCAGCAGTTTCCTTGAGTAATGAAGGATACTTTAATAACTACTAAGCAGTAATAACAATTTTGATTATAATCTTTAACAACTATTTTGTGTGTATCTATTTATTTTGAAAAGAATTCTCACTGAAATATTTATGACCAAAAATTAAGTTACTTACTGTTATCTTACGAGGACAGTCATTAGAACACAGACCACTAAGAACTGTGGAAAAATAAAGAATAGGCTATTGTTACTGTTATAACATAAATTTCTATTTAAAATGAGATCAAATTTCCTCCTAAATTCTACTAATGTACCCACTGGATTCATGATTACATACAGGAACCATTTCAGTGCCTTTAGATCTGAACAAATTAAATTTCTGTTATTCACCTTATGCCTGTACTTTCTTTTTAAAATTAAAAAAATTTAAAATGCTATGTGTGGATGTGCATGTGCCATGGTGTGTCTGTAGAGGTCAGAGGACAATCTTGGGTTCTTGACTTTGAGACAAGGTCTTTTATTGTTTGCCTTTGAATATGCAAGGCTAGTTAGCCTGCGAGATTCCACAGATTCTGTTTCTGTTTCCCATCTCATCTCAGGAACTCTGGGATTACAGACCCACAACCACACCCAGCTTTACTGGGGTTCTGGGGAATCTAAGGTCAGATCCTCATGCTTGTACAGCAAGTGCTCTGAGTACTGAGTCACCTCCCTGGACCCACTCCACTCCTGGTTCTGTTTTCTAATTGATTAGCAAAATTCCAAGGATGACTAAGAATCTGCCAGAAAGGTGCCAAATACAAGCAAATTAAAATGTGTTTTAGGAAAAACAAGTACAACATTTAGTACTTTATAGCTCAACATAGACTCTTATCTCGTCAAAGACTGTAGGTCAAAGGTTTTGGGCACAACAATATAAATGCTTAAAACTATTGAAGTGTACCTTAAAATTATATATGATGGCAAATTTGTTACTTCTAAACATCACAATTAAAATGAGATATTTACAAAAAGATATTTTAAATCTGCTAGACAACTATAATAAAAAGAGATTCTTTATGAAATACACAAGAATTCAATAAAAACAAATTTTAGAGTTACATGATAACACATTATCAAGGAACTGGAGTAGTTGGAACCCTCATACACTGTTAGTGGGGCTGTGGAAGGCTGTAGCTGCTTTGGGGGGAAAAATGTAGTCATTCTTCAAAAGTTAAACATAGTTTTCCATTTGATCAAATAATTCACTGTTAGATACATCCCAAGAGAAATGAAATATCTATGTGTGTGCATGTATGTATATATGTGTATGTGTATAGATATACAGATAGATGCACAATATGTACATCTATGTGTACATACAAGTATGTTATATTTAATATATGTTATATACAATATATAACATAGTTACTATATAATAACTTGTATATTCACATTCATAGCACCATCATTTATACTTGCCAAAATGTGGATACCCTCCAACTATATATCAACTGATAAAACTATGGTATAAAATGTAATAGGATGTTATTCAGCAATTAAAAGGAATATTTTTATAAAACATTGACAGATATTATAGCATAAATGAATCTTAAGACCACTGTGTTAAGTGGCCCTAAGGAAAGGAGCCAGTGACATGATTCACAAATTATGATATGTTCAGAACATGCAATTTGATAGATATATAAAGATCAATGGCTGCCTATGGCTGGGGCTAGGGACAAGGGATTAAGGGCACGCTAAATGGTACAATTTCTTTTTGAAATGTATATATTTAAAAATTATTGTATTGTGCAATTCAATGAATATAACCATAAAATATACCTCAAATGCTATCACATGTGAATTGTATACACAATAAAGTTGTTAAAGTCACATCTGGTGGTACCTGCCTGTAATCCCAACACTTGGAAGGCAGGGGTTTTGAGTTTGAGGTCAGTCTATACTAAAAGTGAGTTTGAGGTCAGCTTCTGCTACATAGTAAGCACTTGCCTCAAACAAAACAAAAAACCAAAAGAAAACAACAAAACAACCAAAAAACAACTTCCATCAAAAAAGCTAAAATCCAAATCCATAAGTTGTTACAAAATAAAAGAAATATAAACAAATTTAAGACAAATTTGTTAGGCCAAATTGGATCCCAAGATGGAGTTACTACTGACCAGCAACATGGATCACAACCTGGTGGACAGCATTCTGGGAAACAGAAACTAAATCATCCTAGTTTCTCAGTAACCACCTGACCTTTGTTTTAACAATGCACCCTGATCATAACAACAATTTTCCATCGCAGCCAACTGAAAAACTGGAAAACACCTAAATGAAACAACCCCCAACAAGGCACCTGCTACTGACTCACCTTACTGCTACAGTTTTACCTTTCTATCCTCACAAAAGAAAAATCCTATAAAATCCAGTCTGCTGTTATGAGAAACCACAGCTCCCTTTCTCCCATGGGAGCAGTCCAGCAGCTCATACATACATCCCAATAAATTTCTTCTTTTCTTACCTCAGAGCGGTCTCTAGTGGTTCTGGTCTTTTCATGAACCTAACAGCTGGGTTCACAGCTGTTCTCAGTACTCACATGGTGGCTAATAACTGACCCTAACTCTAGTACCAGGGTATCCAATGCCCCCTTCTGTCCTCTGTGAGCATTGAATGCACAATACACTTACATACATGCAGCAAAACACTTAAACACAGAAACAGAAATTTAAAAAGACATATATTATCCTTACGCTGTGTTGATGGTCATGATTTACTTACTAGGAGGGAGAGATGTTGATGCAAATGTCATAAATAACTGTGATTTCAGAGTGCTCAAATATCGTGGAATACCATGCAGGAAAGAAAGGGGATTGTATATCACAATAAATAAAAACAGAATCCTGTTCTTCATAAAGATGATTCTGGTGATCAAAGGTCAAATGACAGATTTTTTTTGGACATGTTTTGATTCTAGTGGTGATAAGAGTTTCAGCTGAAAATCCCTTTGGTAACCAAAGTTTGCATTCCTCAAATGGTTATATTTAGATTTTGTACTTCATCCCTAAAGGATTAAATCTGAAACTATTATTCAGCCTTGTGTTTCAATAAACTGAACAAGGTACTTTTAATTATGCATACAATTATGACTGGTAAAAAATGTAAGAACTCTTTATCTTGTTATCCTGAGGGTTAAAGTTGAAGAAAAACCCCAGCAAAAAATATATACACTTCAAATGATAAAAGGTAATAGTGTGCCAAATAAACACAGTTTTTGTTATTTTTAAGCTATAAAAAGGCAAAGCAATATACACTTGAAAGTCAGAAAAGATAGGAGATGCTCACTCACACTGATGAACATGGAGAGACATGGTTAAACTCAGACATCAGGATCTGGTGGCTGTAGCAATGCCGAGTAAGGAGCCATTTTCACTTCCTCCCAAAAGGACTGAATTTGTTTCTCAGAACAGGTCACACATTTTGCCATTCTGAACCACTCACATTCATTCATTCCTTTGTTACTTTTCTGGGTTCAGGTATTTGTGTTCACTTCAAAACTGGAGCAAGTATTTCTACAAAGCACACCTATCTTTTCATTAACAAACACATAAAACTATCTTGATGTCAACTACAGCAATATTTAAAAAAAACACACCAGTCATCTTTCAACACGAATTTATGATAAAATTTCCAGTAAACTAGGACTAGAGTTAACCTTTTAACTATGACACAAAGAAAAACCCTGCTAGAGTTAACACACTTAATGGTAAAGATGTAATGCTATTCCCTTAAGATTGGAAATAGGCATAAGATGTCTACTTATTCTTTCTAGTTAGCACAATAAAAAGGCATCAAAAGCAGAGATTAGAAAAGAAAAAAGAGAAAATTGTCCCTTTATCCAAATGTTTGTCTGTGAAAATCCCAAGAAATCAATTAAAAAATACTCTCCTAGTATCAGTAAGTAAATCCAATAAGGTTGCAGTAAAGAAAAAAAAAAATCCAAGTTTATTTCCATATACTAAAAACAAGCATGTGGAAACCAAATTTAAACACTCAACAGTATTTAAAGTCTTTCCAAAGAAAAGAAAATAGGCATACACTTAAGATATACAGCACTTTTATGATAAACATAGATACCAGATGGCGCACACTGGCAAGGAACTAGTTAAGGTGAATAAAGTCAAAAATAGCAAAATTCTCAGTGCTACAGAAGATACACTTAGAAGAGATCTGAAAGAACTCTGAAGTACCTTGTTGGATTAGAAATGGAAGTACTGGGATGAATTCACAGCTTTATAGTATATACAGAGATGTAACAAGTTACAAAGTGGGTGCTGGAGAGATGGCTCAGTAGATAAGAGCACTGACTGCTCTTGCGAAAGACCTGGGTTCAAATCCCAGTACCCACGTGGTGACTAATAACAATCCATAACTCCAGTTCCAGGGGTTCTGACAACTTCTAGTCTCCGCAGGCATTGTATGACATGGATGCACTTACATATATACAGTCAAAACTCATACACATTTAAAAAAAGTTACAAAGGTACCTATTTATATAAGTATGCAAAGTCATACTATCATTTTTCTACCTTTGTCTATAAGGAACGTGGAAAAAATGAAAACTCACCAGTAACAAGTATACTAAGCACTCCATCATAACCTGGCTTTTACGTACATGGAAGAATGTGTGATTCAAGCATCGGGCAAGGGATGTGTAAGATGAATATTAGAATACCAACTTATAAATGCAGAAGGAATGATGGCAATACAGACTCATTTGACAAAGGCTGACTGAGGTTAGTGATATCAATGGATATTAATAGAAGCAGGTACAGGGATGATAGAAAAAGGATACAAATACTATCAGAACATTTCTCTGTAATAACCAATCAATTAAGAGGGGGGATGAGGGAATTTAGGAGGGATAACTGGTGGTCATCCACATGAGCAGGGTGGATCACATGATTCCTGATTTGATGAGCTAGAAAGCTCAAGAGTCTCTGTTCTACAGTTCTTTGCTGTGGGATTTTTGCCAAAAATGAGGGACCCGAGTTAGGTATTGAGGAAAGAGGGTTACCTAACAGAATGTAAAATTTGAAATCTTTAAACTGATGAAGGTAAAAATAGAAAATGCCTGAAAAAGTGTTCCAGGTTGGGGGAGTCTGAAAAACGGTGAGAAACTCAACAGATATCCTGGACAGAATACTAAACCAGAGGGGAAAAAGAGTCATTATTGGTACAGCTGGTAGAATTTGAATGGGGCCTATGTATAGCTAGCATGACGTATTGCTGAAGTTTATGTCCTAATTTGGAGAGTGGTACATGAATTTTACAGAAGTGTGTACTTGTGCTGTGTAACATGTGGAAAGGAAAGGAGAAAAAGTGGGAAGGAGGGGGAAGATGAGACGAAATGGTAATATCGAAAATACTCACCAATGACTTTAACAAAATAAGCATCTGCTTCAAAATTATTTTTTAGCATATGAATGGCAGCATCACTCTTGGTGTCGCCTTTACTCAGTATCACAATGTCTAAGATTCCCTGAAAGAGCAAACAGAAATGGGAAGAGCAAACTACTAGAAGAAGGAACAGAGAGACTGCATACGTAAAATGTATGCTTTGTGCTTCATTTTCAAAAGGTGTCACCCTCATTGCTGAAGACTTGGTTGCTAGCCTGTGGTACTAATGGGAGTTGGTGGGAACTCTGGGAGTGGGGCCTAGTCATGACGTTACGTCCCTAATGTTCTTGAAGGGGAAATTTTGACCTCAGCCCCTTCCCTTCTCTCTGCTTCTAGGTGGTTAGCAGAACTCCTGCTCCATGTGCTCCTGCCAGGATGTACTGTGACACACAGGCCAAAAAAGATCATGAACTAAAACAGAAATGTTTATGCAAACAAAACTTCCTCCTTCTAAGTTACTTTTCTCAGGCAGTTTGTCAGAGGTAGAAAGCCAACTAACAGCACATTTATCATATAAGTATAAAACTTATTAAGTTGATATTTGAAATAAACACACTAAAAATGTAAACACATACAACTTAAACAGCAGACTATAAACAAAATGAAAAATACCTACTTTTACTCTTGAGAAATAATTGCTAGCATTTTGATATATTTCCTCCTGTCATATGTTCATACATTTTAAAAACTATTAAAATTTTTTTAATTCATTACTGGTGTGTGTGCGTGTGTGTGTGTGTGTGTGTGTGTGTGTGTTGCAGATTGTATATGTGGAAGTAAGATGACAACTTTCAGAAGTCTGTTTTCTCCTTACACTGTGTGTTCTGGGGATCAAACTCAGGCTGTCAGGCTTTTGCAGCAAGTGATTTTACAGGCTGAGTCATCTCATGGGCCTGTGCAGACATTTTTAAAAATGTTGATGATAGGCACGGCCAGACCCTCTGCAATCACAGATGAATTGACTTTCACTATCACACTATCACCATCTTTATTTTCTTACCCTTAAAAATGCTGAAACTTAGCTAATTTTATTGAAGAAAAAAGTGCTCATTTAAACCAAAGCTCTTCAGTCTCGCATGAAACTGATCATTTATCATTTTTTATTATGGGCTTTTCCTGTAGATTCTAATTTTCTAGAATTTTTGGTGACACATCAGTTTCTATGGATACTTTTACATTAAAGATATTAATTATTCACTCATTCATAGCATTTCTATTTTTCGTATTTGAAAACAATTTTAAATTTGATTTATTAAGCTTCTGATGTACAGAAATTAAAAATTGATTTGTAGGCAATTCTCTTGATTTTTCTCCCTTATAATATTTCTGCCAATTTCTTTTAGGCTTGGAAATTGCTAATGAAAAGTGAAATGAAATGAGATGTGGTAATAGGAGAAACAGAAGAAAACAAGGATATGAATTATTTATAATTGAGAATAAGCCTCAAACCAAACCAAAATAGGATTACTGTGGAGACAGACATCCTGATAAGCACTTTACTTTTTACAATATATTATCTTGCAAAGATATATTTGGATTCACTACGTTTTCAAAAAAAAATTTTCTTCCCCTTAGCTGAGCATGGTGGTGCACACCTTTGATCCCAGTCCTTGGGAGGCAGAGGCAGGCGGAAATCTGTGAGATGAGACCAGCCTGATCTACATGGTGAGTTCCAAGTCACCTGATGGTACAGGGAGACCCTGTCTCAAAAAAGAACATCAAAAAGGGGTGGAAAAAAAAAAAGGTAAAAATATGTGTCCCCACCAGTGGCAAATTAGTTTTTCTCTTTAGGAAGGTGGAAGCCAGGTATCTCTAATGGTAAGCAAATCCAGAATCTCAGGAATCAGTTGTTCCAGTTTGAGGGCAAAATTGCCAGCTGAACTCATTCTGCAGACCAAAATCTACCTGTTAGTGTTGCTGTTGTTTACTGTTGAACACATCAGTCAGGCAGTCTTCAAGCACTAATTTTTAGTGGTTTAATTCAAAAAGCACAAATGAGACACATTTTCATATTCAACTACAGAGATCAGCTAGGACTAACATTGATCTGTTCTGCTGCCATTTCACACTAAGAGGCTTTCTTTAATGGATTAGTTTACTTTCACTGCTACTCCATTTTCTGACATGTATGTGAAGCTGTAGTGCGATGAGACAGATGGTAATTAAACCCCGAACACAAGAGGACAGCTCTGAACTCACATCTTCATAAATGTCAAAGAAGGTGGCAACCATAGCATCTTTGATGAGATTTAGGCCAGGGAGCTCCCAGTAGACTTTAAACATCCGATGTACCTCCTCACAGCTGGCGTTATTGCAAGGGACATTCTCCAGTAAGAAGGCCTGCTGACTGCTGCATGACAGACAGAAGGTGTTTAGTTAGTAACACCAGTGTTGACAGCAGTCACCGTGCTGCATTTTCTAGACACAATCTGAATTTTCTGACACCACTGTGATTATTGAATTGAGATAAAAAATATTTAAATTGTTGGCACCATTTTTCAAGTTTTGACAGAAATCCTCTTAGTTTTTGAGGCTAGTCAATTGCTGTCATCTCTTCTGTTATATGAGTTTCTAAATTTATCCCTCTTTCCTGTCTCCACAGTCACTCACCCTGTCTTCTATTTTAAGTTCCTGAAATACACATTTTAGGGTGTAGCTGTCTTCTCAGAACTGAAGCACTTTTTTGCTGGAGGTTCATAAGGCCCAGGAAGTAAATGGAACTTACAAGGCCCAGGAAGATCCTGAAGCTTATAAGATTTATAAAGCCCCTCCCTAAGGCTGTAAAAGCAGTAAACAACTGGAGAGAGGAGACTCATCAGGATAGCTGCTTGCAAGTGGTGTTCCAGAGACACAGCTTTTGTGAATCATCTCCCTTGGTGATAGTGGGGTGGGCTATTAAGTGGTACAGTGGTCTTTGAATTACCCACACTTCCAGCAAGGAATCCCTCACCTCTGTTCCTGTTAAGTGACCCCAGTAAACTCACTGTCTCAGCAATACAGTTTTGTGTTTAGTTGGTCTGTGATCTGTGTTCTTTCAAAGAGGAATTCTGCTAGTGTTCCCTCAGGTAAAGTCCCACAATAGAGACACATTATTGCTCAATGATTTTGAATTTGAATTGGAGATTCCTGATTTCCCTAAGTCTTACAACCCATTGTGTTCATAATTTCAAATATAAAGCAATAGTCTATACAGCAGAAACCTTTAATGAAAGCATACAATTTAAAATGTCATTCTTAATTTTCAGTATGTGTTTTGTATAGGTCTTTTAAAAATAAAATTTCATTTAAGGCCAGGAGTAAAAAAACATAGCCCATTTGGCTTTCTTTTTGTTTTAAAAATTCATGTTTACTTATGTGTGTCTGTGTGTGGGTACATCAGTGTAAGTGCCTGAGGAGGCCAGAAGAGGCCTCCAGATCCCTTGAAGCTGGAGTTACAAGTGGTTGTGAGCCACCAGTTGCAGGTGCTAGGAAGTGAAATTTACCTAGGTTTGAAACCCCTGGGGAAATGGCCTTATCTCAGTTTTCTATATATATATTTTGTCTTTTTGAGACAGGGTCTCCCTATAGCCCAAAGTGGCCTGTAACTTGCTATGTAGACTAGGCTGACTTCGAACTCACAGAGCTGCCTCCCTCTGTCTCCCAAGTGCCGGAATTAAAGGTATGCACAATCATGTTCGGACATTTTCTGTATTCTTGACATTACACCTAAGCACAAAATTCAGATTTCTTTACAGGCCCTGGGCAGAGAATGACTGGTGGGTGAGTGGTCACTACTTAATACTCTGGAGTATGATTACTGGATTCAAGCCCTGGCTCTGTCATTTAGGAGATGTGGTCTTATACAAGTTATCCTCATATGTAGACTGAATAATCAAAGTTCTTAAAGCATGAGATTATAAGGAAGATGAAATGATTCCTGGTAACCAGATAGTGGTCTTGATTCAGTTTTCCAGTATTTCTGGGTAATTACAACTAGTGTATAATTAAATTTTTTTTCCAAAATGATTTTAAGAATTATTGTAAAATTCAGGTAACAGAAACATTTGAAAAATAAAAATGTCTTCCTTTTCAGAGATAACCACTGTTAGTATTTTGGTGTGTATCTTACCAAGCCTTCTAGGCACATACAAGTACATACATATATTGAGAACAGTACGACAATAAACATGGATGTGCAAGGTATCTATGTGACATGTACACACACAAAACACACACACACACACACACACACACACACACACACACACACCCTCCAAACAAAAACACCAAATCTAGTTGGGTTCTGCTATACGCATTGTTCTTGAGCTTTTAAAAATTTCCTCTAAATAATGTAGCATACTTATAGAGAAAGGGGATGTAATCTGATAGAAGACTTTGACACCTATTGAAAATTCCCTCTAGAGACATTGCATCATGTTATATCTCTCACCAGAAGTCTATCAAATACCTATTTCTCCTGGCTGGCCACTTTCAATAGAGACTCAATTATATGTGTAATCTGTCATTTATTTTAGCATTCGACTATTGATGGTTCTTTCATTTTTACATCACACTCCTAACCCTTTCCTTGGGAATTTATACATGGGTTGCAGATGGTAGACATCTGGCCAATGGAAATGCATATTTTAAATGTTAATAGATGAAACAAAATGGTCCTCTACACATGAACTAATTTATATTCCACCATGTGAGTTTCCACATCTCCACAGCATCAACAGCATTGCTTCTTACTCTTACCAACTGAGCAGTGTACAAATGAGTCCATTCTTTTGATAATGAGAAGCTGAGTATTACTTTACTTCATCACCTATTCATGTTTCTGTGAAATACCACTTTAATTTTTTATTGTTGTTTTGAAGATCTATGACATTTTGTGACATGGCTGTTATGCTTATGTCATTACTTGTAGAGTAATAAACAGTACATTATCTCATAAGTTAGCATACAAAGTATATAGGTTTCACTGTACCATTTTCATACATACATATGTACCATTTTCATACACATGTTTTGTTTTAATTCATCCTTCTCCATCTCTGCTCTCTCCTAGGGTCCCTGCTCTCCCCTAGTCCCTTTTATATCCCCAGATAGTCACCCCTCTGTTTTCAGTCACATCTATTCTGTTACGTCCCCACTTTCTTTAAGGTCTCTTTGTCCCATCTCATGATCCCCTTCCTAGTTTTATAAAACACAAACACAAACGTGAATTTAGGTTCTTAATATGAGGGAACACATGCATTATTTGTCTTTCTGACTCTAGCATATTTTGCTTAACATGATGATTTCCAATTCCATCTATTTTCCTACATAAGTCAAAATTTCATTTTTACAGTTGAATACAATTCAGTTGTGCCTATTGTATATACATTTTATTATCCAATCATCAGCTGACGGACATCTAGACTGGTTCCAGTTCCTGGCTACTGAGAACAGTATAGCAATAAACATGGACATGCAAGTATCTCTATGGTATGCTGACTAAATGCCTAGTATATGGCCAGGAGTGGAACTGTTGAATCATATGGTAGTTTTAATTTCAGTCTTTTAAGAAACTTCTATACTGGTCTCCATAGTGGCTGCATAAGTTCACATTCCTATGAACAATACACAAGAATTCCTTTCCCTCACATTCTTACCAGCATTTGCTGTCATTTGCTTTCTTGATGACAGCCATTCTGATTAGAGAAGAAGTTTTACTTTGAATTTTCTGATGGCTAAGGATGTTAAATTCTTCAAGTATTTATGGATCATTTATACTTCTTTTCTTTTTAAAGATTTATTTTTATTTCTCTCTCTCTCTCTCTCTCTCTCTCTCTCTCTCTCTGACATGTGTTGTGCAGGTGCCCTTGGAAACCTGAAGGTGTCAGATCTCCTGGAGCTGGAGTTACAGGGGGTTGTAATCCACCTGTGGATGCTGGGAACTGGATTTGGATCCTCTGGAAGACAGTAAGTGCTCTTAACTGCTGAGCCATCTCTACAGCCTCTGGATTTCTTTTGAGAACTGTCTATTCAGTTCACCAACCTATTTATTGAGCTGATGGTTTTTTTGGAGGAAAGGTTCAGGTTTTTCAGTTATTTATATATTCTACATAGCAATCCCCTACTTGATGCATAGTTGGAAAAGACTCATTCCAAAGCTGTTGGCAGTCTCTTCTCTCTGCTGATTGTTTCCTTTGCTGAAAACAATCTTTTTAATTTCATGTAATCCTATTTCTTAATTCTTGAGACTATTTCCTGTGCTACTGGAGTCCTTTTCTAAATATGTAGCTTTTATTATTACTTTGACAGAGTTGTAAACATTTCTTCCAGTCTTTCAAAAGCTTTGTTTCCAGTTTCTCTCATTAAGATGTTTATAATATGTATGCAGTCATTTGTCAGTATTTTTCTTTATGGAATCTTAATCAATATTAAATGAAGTCTAAGAAATGTTAAAGGAAGTCTATTAGACACATGAAAAAGAACTTCAGATAATCTATATCTATACAAGGGAATGAAGACTATTAAGTTTACATAGTGTCAAGCATGCCGGAAAATATTAAATTAAAATTTTAATTAATTAATTGATTTTGAGACAGGGGTCTCCCTGTGGCCCCAGCTGGCCTGGAAGTCACTATGTAGAACAGTCTGGCCTCAAACTCATAGAGATCCACCTGGCTCTGCCTCCCAAGTGCTGTGATTAAAGGCATGAACAACCACACCTGGCTAAAAAATTTTAAATCTCTGAAAAGAAAATTAATTTTAAACAAAAAACCCTGCAAGCTAGTACACTATCAATAATGTAAAGAGATGCAAAACTTGTGATGAAAATAGTAGTAAGGCCAAAAAAGTTCTAAAACTATCATTTGAAGACAAAATTTAAAGATTTCTATAAAATAATAAAATAGCATTTATGGTAGGCCAACAACAAAAGACAAAATGAAATAATAAAAACCACTATATTTAAATTTGAATTAAAGCAGTAAAAGGAAAATAATACAATAAAGAAGATGTCAGGTGTTAACCAATCAATGCTGGAAACTAAGACTGGCTCTCTTACCCTCATTGAGACCTCCGTTTAGCCTTGGGCCCAGGCTCGCTCCTGCTCTACCACACCAGATCTTTGACTTACCCTCTTAGCTCAGACCCACCCACTGTGTCCTGATCACCTGTACCCAGAGTAGTTCAATTCTCCAGCTTCGTTTGTTAGATCTTTCATGGGCTGTCCCCATTCCCATCCCCATCTTGCCCTTGGGCCCCTCCTGATCTGCCTTCACAGACCTGCCTACTACACAGACCAGCCTACTACTGTGTGAGAACCTGAAGCACATACCAACTAACTTTTCATACCTGAGCATCAAGCAACCAAGCTAT